ACTTACCGGCTTGTGAGCTCACAGGTCCCCACCTGTAGCTGGGAGACCCCTAGTGTGCCAGCCCTTCTCGAGGTCACCACCTCTCTGCCAGGGTCGAGCTGCAGACTCCTCCGCCCCTGGGACCACTCGCTGCGATCCCCCCGGGGGACCCTGTTACCGCAAAAGTCCCTCTCGCTGGTCACACACTCCCAGGGGTAATAACCGTCTCTCTCCCACTCTTCAGCAGGCCTGGTCCCCGTCAATCCCCCTTCGTTTTACTGCTCCCCAGTCACTTACTGCAGGAAGCGCCGTCCACGGGGTGCAGTAGATCCCGCCGCTGCCACCAGTTGTCACGGAGTATTGGGGAACTCAGGGCCCTGCACCCCCGGCTTCCTGCGATTCACCATGACTCTCAGCCAGCCAGTAAAGCAGACGGTTTATTTGGATGGCAGGAATACAGTCCAAGACAGGTCTTGCAGGCACAGACAACAGGGCCGCCCTCAGTTAGGTCCAGCTTGGGGTCCCAGGGCATCCCAGCCCCCCGCTTTGGGAGGTCAGAGCCATCTCTGCCTCCCAGCCATCTCTCCAGCCCGCTTCCAACACTGCCTTCAGCGACCCCTCCCACAGCCTTTGTTCAGTTTCCCGGGCCAAGGTGTCACCTGGCCTCCAACCCCTTCCTGGGTTCTCATGTTACACGCTCAGGTATTCTCCTTCGGGCAGTCTCCCATCCCCCAATGCAGACTATCCTAGCCACACTCCCCTGTCAGCATTCACAGACCACAGTAAGAACAGTCCCAGTTCGTCACAGTAAGCCCCTGCATCCCAGGTTAAATGCACATACTGCTGAGTGGAAATGGGAGCGAGGGGTAATGGGGAGGAGAACGAGCTTATGGATAAGGGACAGGATGGGGAGCCAGGAGTCCGGATACACGCTTGTCTTGGTCCCAATGTCTGATGGTTAGAGCAGGGAAAGGGGGCCAGGAGCAGGGGGAGGGGGCCAGGTTCTGTCCCTGTCTCTGGCTAGGGAGTGGGGAGGGGGGGCAGGTTCTATTCCCTGCTCTGCACAAGGCTCACTGTGTGACATGGGCTAAGTCACTTCCTGTTTCCGTGCCTCAGTTTCCCCTCGGTAAAGCAGGGGCACTGATGCGGCGCCATTTCCTGGGCTCAGTGACCTGTCTGTGCAGCATGTGGCGGGAGGGAGGTGCGGGAGAAGGGCCCAGGGTTAGTGTCGTGGGAAAGCCCATTCTGTCCTGTTCTGCACTCGCTGGCAATGCCTCGCGCTGAGCTGGGCCTGCAGCCCCTGGGATCTCCCCGCCCAGCCCCGGAACAGGCGTCCCAGCAGCTGGGTTTGCTTTGCCAGACGTGAGGCTGGTAGGTGGCCCCCACCGCTGCGCCGGGCGGGTGGAGGTGCGTCTGGACGGGCGCTGGGGCACCGTGTGTGACGACGGCTGGGACCTGGGCGACGTGGCCGTGGTGTGCAGGCAGCTGGGCTGCGGGAAGGCCATGGAAGCGCTGAGTCGTAAAGTGTTCGGCCCGGGCAACGAGTTAGACCCTGTCCTGATGATGGACGTGCAGTGCCAGGGGACAGAGGCGGCGCTGGGGAGCTGCTCGTACATGGATCCAGGGGACTTCTGCCAGCATGATGAGGACGCAGGGGCCCGTTGCAAAGGTGAGCCGGCCTGGGGAGCCCTGGCCCTAAGGGAGGGATGGGAGGATGTCTGGGGTCCCAGGGTGGGGTGCTCAGTTCTGACTGAGCGGCCTTGCTGGGTGAGCACTGCACAGTCTGCCCGGGGAGCGGGGAGGGGACCTGACAGGTCTGGAGGGTGGGACAAGCAGGGCCTGGGCTCTGCTCCCTGTCATGTCCCCTTGCTCCCTGGTGGGGGTACAATGAACTCGCCTGTTTCCCCCCTCAACAGGGGATGTGGCTGAGCCCTGCCCTGCCGAGTCCCCCCACAGGGAGAGGGCCTCAGTCTGTGTGCTGGTGGGGTCAGGCAGTGCCCTGAGGGGGCTGGTCTGTGTACCAGGGAGAGGAGAAAGGAAGAGCAACCAATGGGCAGAAGTCCTGGGCCTCCTGCAGCTCCCCCATTCCCCTGGGTCCCAGCACGTGTCACTGCTGTGTCTGGCTCTAACAGCTCTGGACTTTGCCCTGCCTGGCGCCACTTTCCTGCAGGTGCCTTGGGACCGGGAAGCTTTGGGGTGCACGGGACCCTCTCTGCTCCTCACAGTTTCCCCCTTGTCTCTCTCCAGCTGCCGACGTGGGAGTCTCCTCCTCCTCCTCAGGTATGTATTTCTGGCCCCCAGGGGGCCGCCCTTTGCCAGAGCCCAGGCCAGGATCCCAACCCCCTTGGCATGATGGCTGGGGCCTGTGCAGAGGTGACCACGGCCACCCTTTGGAGAGTCAGCTGCCCGAGCACAGGTCCCAGAGTGCCACGGTGTTAAGGCAGGTTAGGTCACAGAATGCAACAGGAGCGAGGAGACTGACCGAGCGCAGATACCAGCATACAATGGAAGTGAGGTGGCTGCCTGAGTGCAGATCCCAGCATGCAATGGGAACAAGGCAGCTGCCTGGGTGCAAGCACAAACAGGAGCAAGGCACTAGGAGCTGCCCCTCTGTGAGCTGTGACTCATTGCAATGGAGCATGTTCCCCTGGGAACGTGGCATCACCTTTTTCTCCCTCCAGCTCTGGTTTCACCCTGTGCTATAGTTTCACTCAACACTGGGATCTGCCAGCCATATTGTGTTAGATCAAAGGGAGCAGAAACCCCAGCTATTTCCCACTTCCCCCACCACACCCCTTACTTCCCCTACAACTCTTAGCAAAAAAGCTGCTAGTCCTTTCTGTGTTCACACTCAATCTAGCCCCTGTCCTCCAGGTCAGGGTGGCCCCTCTCTCCACGGGGTACCTGCTTGTTGTCACACTGACCCAGGCCCCCATTGCATCCCTGCCCTCACACAGCGCGTGGACCATGTGCTGTGAGCCTGGCGCATGAAGACTGTCCAGGCCGAGCAGCACAGGGCACACGATGGCCCTCCCAATGTGTATGCAAATGAGGTAGGAAGGGAGCTGTACAGTCTAACCAGCCCACCTGGGGGCAGAGTGCCCTGCATGCAAATGAGTGGGGGCAGGTAGGGACACGCCCACCTTGCTCAAGGGAGCCAGGGTCTCTCCCCTCCAGCTGCCAGTCCTGGCCCCACAGCAGGGCACTACCCTGTCCCCAGGAGCTGTGTGCTCTGCAGGCAGGCGGACGATCTTGAGGGGAGACCATCCATCTTTCCCTAGTGATCACGTGGCCAACGGGAAGCTCTGGGTGCTTTAATCCACATACTGCTGAGTGGAAATGGGAGCGAGGGGTAATGGGGAGGAGAACGAGCTTATGGATAAGGGACAGGATGGGGAGCCAGGAATCCGGATCCACCCTCGTCTTGGTCCCAATGTCTGATGGTTATAGCAGGGAAAGGGGACCAGGGGCAGGGGGCCAGGTTCTGTCCCTGTCTCTGGCCTGGCAGGGGAGGGGAGATGGGGCGGGTTCTATTCCCTGCTCTGCACAAGGCTCATTGTTTAACCTGGGGTAAGAAGTCACTTCCTGTCTCTGTGTCTCAGTTTCCCCTTGGTAAAGCAGGGGCACTGATGCGGCGCCATTTCCTGGGCTCAGTGACCTGTCTGTGCAGCAGGAGGGAGGTGCGGGAGAAGGGCCCAGGGTTAGAGTCGTGGGAAAGCCCGTTCTGCCCTGTTCTGCACTCGCTGGCAATGCCTCGCGCTGAGCTGGGCCTTCTGTCCTTGCAGCCACTGGGATCCCCCCGCGCAGCCCCGGAACAGGCGTCCCAGCAGCTGGGTTTGCTTTGCCAGACGTGAGGCTGGTAGGTGGCCCCCACCGCTGCGCCGGGCGGGTGGAGGTGCGTCTGGACGGGCGCTGGGGCACCGTGTGTGACGACGGCTGGGACCTGAGCGACGTGGCCGTGGTGTGCAGGCAGCTGGGCTGTGGGCCGGCCATGGAAGCACTGAGTGGTAAAGTGTTCGGCCCGGGCCCCAAGTCGGAGCCTGTCCTGATGCTGAACGTGCAGTGCCAGGGGACAGAGGCGGCGCTGGGGAACTGCTCGTACATGGATCCAGGGGACCTCTGCCAGCATGATGAGGATGCAGGGGCCCGTTGCCAAGGTGAGCCGGCCTGGGGAGCCCTGGCCCTAAGGGAGGGATGGGAGGATGTCTGGGGTCCCAGAGTGGGGTGCTCAGTTCTGACTGAGCGGCCTTGCTGGGTGAGCACTGCACAGTCTGCCTGGAGAGCGGGGAGGGGACCTGACAGGCCCGGAGGGTGGGACAAGCAGGGCCTGGGCTCTGCTCCCTGTCATGTCCCCTTGCTCCCCGGTGGGGTACAATGAACTCGCCTGTTTCCGCCCTCAACAGGGGATGTGGCTGAGCCCTGCCCAGCCGAGTCCCTCCACAGGGAGAGGGCCTCAGTCTGTGCTGGTGGGGCCAGGCAGTGCCCTCAGGGGGCTGGTCTGTGCACCAGGGAGAGGAGAAGGGAAGAGCAGCGGATGGGCAGCCGGCCTGGGCCTCCTGCGGCTCCCCCATTCCCCTGGGTCCCAGCACATGTCACTGCTGTGTCTGGCTCTAACAGCTCTGGACTCTGCCCCGCCCGGCGCCACTTTCCTGCAGGTGCCTTGGGACCAGGAGGCTTTGGGGTGCACGGGCCCCTCTCTGCTCCTGACAGTTTCCTTGTCTCTCCCCAGGTGCCTCCTCAGGTATGTATTTCTGGTGCCCAGGGGGCTGCCCTTTGCCAGAGCCCAGGCCAGGATCCCAACCCCCCTGGCATCACAGCTGGGGCCTGAGCAGAGGTGACCACGGCCGCCCTTTGGAGAATCAGCTGCCCAAGCATAGGTCCCAGAGTGCAACGGTGTTAAGGAACCTGCCTGAAGTTAGGTCCCAGCATGCAATAGGAGCGAAGAGGCTGGCCAAGCACAGATCCCAGAATGCAACGGGAGCAAGGTGGCTGCCTGAGTGCAGGTCCCAGCATGCAATGAGAGCAAGGGAGCTGCATGAGGGCAGTGATGATGTGACGACATGGCCAGCAGAAGCTCTGGGTGTTTAATGCATGTGCTGCTGAGTGGATATGGGAGCGAGGGGTAATGGGGAGGAGAACGAGCTTATGGATAAGGGACAGGATGGGGAGCCAGGAGTCCGGATCCACCCTTGTCTTTGTCCCAATGTCCTATGGTTAGAGCAGGGAAAGGGGACCGGGGGTGGGGGCCAGGTTCTGTCCCTGTCTCTGGCCAGGGTGTGGGGGGCGGGCAGGTTCTATTCCCTATGCTGCACAAGGCTCACTGTTTCACCTGGGGTAGGTAACTTCCTGTCTCTGTGCCTCAGTTTCCCTTCAGTAAAGCGGGGGCACTGATGCTGAGCCATTCCTGGGGTCTCCCCGCACAGCCCTGGAGCAGGCGTCTCAGCAGCTGCATTTGCTTTGCCAGACGTGAGGCTGGTAGATGGCCCCCACCGCTGTGCCGGGCGGGTGGAGGTGCGTCTGGACGGGCGCTGGGGCACCGTGTGTGACGACGGCTGGGACATCAGCGACGTGGCCGTGGTGTGCAGGCAGTTGGGCTGTGGGCCGGCCATGGAAGCGCTGAGTGGTAAAGGGTTCCGCCCGGGCGTCAAGTCAGACCCTGTCCTGATGAGGAACGTTCAGTGCCAGGGGACAGAGGCCGCGCTGGGGAGCTGCCCGAACACGGATCCAGGGGACCTCTGCCAGCATGATAAGGACGCTGGAGCCCGTTGCAAAGGTGAGCCGGCCTGGAGTGCCCTGGCCCTAAGGGAGGGATGGGAGGATGCCTGGGGTCCCAGGGTGCAGTGCTCAGTTCTCCACTGAGCGGCCTTGCTGGGTGAGCACTGCACAGTCTGCCCAGGGAGCAGGGCGGGGACCTGACAGGCCCGGAGGGTGGGACAAGCAGGGTCTGGGCTCTGTTCCCTGTCACACACCAAAGGGCAGGGTTATGAAGGGAAAATGCCCTCATGCGGCAGGGTCAGCGTTCACACGCACCATCCGCTACTGAAACATCCTCAGCTTACTCGCTGCCGAGTCCAAGCCTGGGAGGGGCGGCCCTGCTCCCACCACGGGACACCGGAGTCATGTGCCAAGGTGAGAAAGCAGCGCTGGCACCAGGCCCTCACCCCCTGCCAGAGGCCCAGGTCAGGCAGCGTGTGCCGTGGCAACAGCTGCCCCTCCTGGTTGGGCACACAGGGCACAGACAGCACAGCACTGGCGCCCCTACCATGTGGGGGTCAGTGCCTGGCAAGTCCCCTCCACCAGCCAGGCCATGCCTGCTCAGCATGCATTGGAGCACCGACGCACCTGACCCCCCCGCCCCCTCCTCACAGAGCCCTTCGCACTGCGGCTGGCGGACGGCCCAGGCAAGTGCTCCGGGCGGCTAGAGGTGCGGTATGATGGGCTGTGGGGCACCGTGTGTGACAACGACTGGTCGGACACCAACGCCCAAGTGGTCTGCCGGGAGCTGCGCTGTGGCCAAGCCAAGCCACTGGCCCCAAAGCTGCAGGATTGGCCCCGCTTTCGCCAGGGTACAGGGAAAATCTGGCTGGACAACATCCGCTGCAAAGGCACCGAGGAGACCCTGCAGAACTGTGCCCACCACTTCTGGGGCTACCACAACTGCACCCACCAGAAGGACATCAGCGTGATCTGCCAGGTGCATTGTCACACCCAGGGAGAGGGAGATACATGGAGCCCCACAACTTCTGGGTTCTATCCCAGCTCTGGGAGGGGAGTGGGGTCCAGGGGGCTAGCAGAGGGGCTGGGAGCCAGGACTCCTGGGTCCAGGCAGGCAGTGGCTGTAGGCACTGGCTGTGTCACTGAAGGGGTGAGGCTGGGGCTGGCAGAAGGACACAGTTGGGTGAGGTGCCTGGCACTCCCTGTATCCCTCGCCCGAGGCCATGGGCAGTGCTCCCTAACCACCTGTGCTCTCTTATTCCCACAGGACAACTGAGCCGGCCACAGCTCCTCCACAGCCTCCCATTGATTCCCCCCGTCCCCGAGCTTTCAGTGCATCCCCCATGCCGCCAGGCCCTTCCTCTCTGTTGCCAGGCTCCCCGGCTCTGTCCGCCCAGCCTGGGGATGGCTGTCGGCTGTGTAGGGGCATGGCTTGGTGAGTGCCCGGGGGGATTCCCATTTCAGGGATGAACGCAGGCGCCCAGGGCATTCCCCTCCCACTGGGTGCCACACTCTGTGGGCTGCAGCACAAAGTTGGCACGGACTGGGGCTCACATCTCAGTAGCAGTGGGGCAGCTTGCCCTGGCAGGCCCCACTCGGAGCATGGGTCTCCTGGCCGTTGCTCCAACTGCGGCCAAGGGTGTCGTCCCTGATAAACCTCGCCACTGCCAGGGTGGGGCTGCACCCCCCCTTCGGGGGCCAGGACACACGACTGTCTCTCCCGGATGGGGTCTGTGCTGCATGGACAGGCAGGAGCTGGGAGGGGGAGAGCCCTGTGTGCCACACGCCATCCCAAGCTGAGCAGATGCGAATAAAGAGCTGAATCCACTGGATGACCGACTGCCCCGTGTCTGCCTGCGTCCGCCAAGCGCTCAGCGCTGCACAGGTGAGCCCAGGCCTCACCCAGCACAGGCCTCACCCCAGCCAGTTCACAGCTTGGCACACTGGGAGCAGCCCAGTTCCCGAGAGCTGTGGGCAGAGGGGTCCGGAGTGGCCAGGCACAGCAATGCCCATGGAAGGAAGGTGCTGCCTCCAGAACTGGCCCAGAGACAGCGAGCTCCTGCAGGCTTTGGGAGTCCCGGCTTCGGCCAGTAGGTGGCAACAGTCTGCATGACAGCACACACACCCCACTCCTCAGTCAGTCCCTCCCAGGGCTGGGGATAGAACCCAGGAGTCCTGGCTCCCAGCCCCCTACTCTCAGCAGTTGTCCCTGTTCCCTCACGACTGGCTGGTTTCCCTGCCGGCACTGGGCCAGTGTAACTTCTCCCAGCATCTCTGGGCTGTGACCATGTGTCCTGGACAGTAGCAGATAGTGGCTCCATGGAGTCGGGCCCACACTCCAGGGGTGCTCCGACCAGGCCCACTCTTCTCTGCCCCCCACTCTCTCCTGCGGGGGGCAGAAGCTTGGTGCTCGTGGCACTGAGGCTCCTGCTGCAGTAGGGCAGCCAAGCTCCCCCTCCCCTGCCTCTTCTCACAGCTTGCTCCCTTCCCGCCCTCCCCCTCCCTGCCCCACCCCACTCCCTGGGCTCTGTGCCTCACCCCCTGGGCTCTGCACCCCACCCCATCCCCTGGGCTCTGCGCCCCACCCCATCCCCTGGGCTCTGCACACACTCCCACTGATCCCCTGGGCTCTGCACCCCATCCCATCCCCTGGGCTCTGCGCCCCACCCCATCCCCTGGGCTCTGCACACACTCCCACTGATCCCCTGGGCTCTGCGCCCCACCCCATCCCCTGGGCTCTGCACACACTCCCACTGATCCCCTGGGCTCTGCACCCCATCCCATCCCCTGGGCTCTATGCCCCATAGGCGCAGACTTCCCCTCTTTCTCCTGGGTGCTTGACCCCCTCCCTCTGCCCCCAGCCCCGCCCCACTCCACCCCGTCCATAAGGCCCCGCCTCTTCACACCCCTGTCCTGCCCCCATTCCAACACTGTCCCCGCCCCAACTCCTCCCCCTTCCTGCCCCTATTCTAACTCCTTCCCCAAATCCACGCCCTGGCCCCACCTCTTCCCCACCTCCTCCCCTGGGCACACCGTGTTCCCCCTCCTCCCGGAGCATGCTAATGCCGCCAGCTATTTGGCAGCATCCCGTTGGGAAGCGCTGGGAGGTATGCAGCGCGCTCAGGGGAGGAGGTGGGGCGGAGGGTGAGGGGAGCTTGGCTGCCAGTGGGTGTAGAGCACCCACTAATTTTTCCCCTTGGGTGCTCCAGCACGGAGCACCCACGGAGTCAGTGCCTATGCTGTGCCCCATCCCCTGGGCTCTGCGCCCCACCTCATCCCCTGGGCTCTGTGCCCCACCCCCATCAACCCCTGTACTTTTGCCTCCCATCCCATGAGTTCTGCAACCCACCTGCCCCACCAACCCCTGGGCTCTTCCACCAATCCTCTGGGCTCTGCACCCCATCCCCTGAGCACTGCAACCCCCCACCCAACCCCAGGCTCTTCCCCCAATCCGCTGGGCACTGCACCCCCACCCCAGGCTCTGCCCAGGGACAAAGACATGCAGAAGCCCCACTGGGGCATAGCTCCCAAGGCTAAATGAACTGGAGCCCCGCCCTGCAGCTGGGTGGGGCAGCACCTGTCACATGGGGGAGGGGAGCTCCCTGCCCCTGCTGCCCTTCCCAGGGGAAGAGCTCACCCTGCTGGGTGGGAGATGCCTAGGTTCTGCATGGCCTGGTTTGGAAGCAGAGGGCCCCTCTCAGGGTGTGTGCTGGGGCTGCAAGGGCCGAGCAGGGGGTGGCTCTGCACCACATGGCAGACACCCTAACGGCCTGACCATGCCAGCAACCCGGCCAGCAGGGGGTCCAGCATCTCTGCCCTGGGCTGGGCAGCTCTACGCCGGGGAGATCGGTTCATGGCGCGTCCTCCGTGACTGAGCTTGGGAAGCAGCCGGCGACCCCAGCAGGTCACCACCTGCTCAAAACCTCGTTACTCCTGGGCATTAACACCAGCTCCCCTGAGCGCAAAGGCCCTGGGAACAGTGGGCAGGAGGGGGCTGGCGAGCCAGGCAGGGCACCTGGGAAGTGCAGGCAGGAGGGGGCTGGCAAGCCAGGCAGGGCGCCTGGGAGCTGCAGGAGGAGAGATCCACACACCAGAAGATGCAGCTCGGGCTGTCCCAGCCAGACACTCACTGACCCAAGGCAGCAGGGGAAAGCCAGGAGAGAGACACATAACACGGCAGGCAGGGACAGGACCCATGACAAGGGAGGGGGGGTGTCAGCAGGATCCCAACTCACCTCCCGTGTCGGGGCTGGTGGAGCTGGTGCTGTTGGTGGGTCCCTTGCCCGGGCCTGGTCTGTCAGGACGTCTCTCTCAAGCTCAGAACAACAACAGGCCAAGTGTGTCCAAGTGGGTCTCGGGGTCCCAGGAGCTGGGGGACAGCCAGGCTGGGGCAGCGACCTCCTTCTGATCAACCCATCTCCTACCTGGATCCCTCCCCCAAAGTTGTCTTCTAAGGTGCCTGCAAGCGGATGGTGGGTGGAAGTGCCCAGCCCCTTGGTTCTCTGCTCACCGACGAGGCCCAGGTGCTGCCCCTCTCCCCCATCTCCCATTTTTGGTTGTTGGTTCTGGTCCCAGACTGCCCTGGTGTCATGGAGTCACCGGGCGATGCTCTGGAACTACTCCCTACAAAGCCAGTCAGGACTCTGGGGGAGCCTCCTCTCTCTGAGCAGACTGTCGCCAGGTGTGACGATGCTGCCGGGGTACCCAGCTGAGCTCAATCAGGGTGAACTGCAAACAGAATGAGGCAGATAAACCCCAAACACTGGTGGATATTCCAATACTTAGATTTACCAAACCAGCACAAAACAGCTTCTATAGTACCTCACTGGTTACTCAGAAGTCCAAACAACGCAGTTCTCTTAAAGTGCCCAGCCTCAGGCCTCCATCCAGACACACCTGTCAGATATGATGATGATTACTGAAAATCTTATCTCATCATATAAAAGAAAAGGTTCTTCCAACCCCAAAGGATCAGCCACACACCCAGGTCCGATTATAACTTAGATCCTACCCAAAATACACGCTTATAGCCAATCCTTCTTAACTAAGCCAAAATTTATTAAAAAAGAAAAGAGAAGGAGTTGGTTAAAAGATCACTATACAGACAGACTTGAATTCAATTCTTGAGGTTCAGATACACAGTAGAGATGAGCTTGTAGTTGCCAACAGTCCTTTTGGAAATAGTCCATAGGTTATAGTCCAATGTCCATATTCAGGGTGACTCCAGTGACTGGGGATCTCAATCCTTATGGCTCAATCCTTTCCCCCTCTTGAAACCCAAAGCAGATCTGAGATGAAGTAGGATCATGTCCCAGGGTTTTTATACATTTCCAGCTGCCTTTTGGCCTGAGCAAACAATAGGCTTAACTTTCCTTCTCCTAAACATCATGGTAATTAGCACAGGATAATTTATCCATTAAACAGTTCAGATACAGGTTAGCACAACCTTCAAAGAGACATAGAGACAATAATACTATTTCCCTCAAGTGTCTCCCTAAATACTGATACTCCTTTTTTTAATCTTTGAATCAAAGCTATAGACAAGACTTGTTTGCTTACATCACAAGACCTGAGCAAACATCTACCCTTCTATCTCTAACAATGCAGACTTGCATTTCAAAACTCTCTTTATTTACATACCTTCCTAACCAGTTTCTAAAGTTCACCCATGGGTCAGGTCAGTCTGTGAGGTAATTAACTCTTTCTGGCCCTGTCGCCTTTCAATGAGATATTAAATTACACTCATAATGTCACACCAGGGCAAGAAGCTTACCCAGCTTCGACCTTCCTGGGTCTGACCTCAGAGCATTCAGCATCCCCTTCCACACCGTGCACTTCCCACAGCGAGTCCGCACAGGCGGGGCTCCTGGGGAAGCCAGAGGGCCCTGCACCCCAACTCCGCAGTCAGACGTGACTCTCAGCCAGCCGGTAAAACAGAAGGTTTATGAGTCGACAGGAACACAGCGTAGAATGGAACTTGTTAGCACAGAAATCAGTGACTTTCAGCCAAGCCCATCTTGGAGGGAAGGGAGCCCAGAGCCAGGGCTCTGGCCCTCCTCCTGTGCCCCAAGCCAGCCGAGACTGACTCGCTTCCAGCTGCCTGGCCCCTGCCCTGCCCGTTGCTCCTCCTCCGGCCTTTGTCTGTCACCTGGTCACATCCCCCTCCTGGATCTCAGGTTACGAAGGGGCGGCCATAGCATCCATGCAATCCTCACACCTCGTTCACCAGGCATGAGCACAACATCGGCCTTGAGTTACAGCTGGAGACCAGATTGTCTGAACTCAGCCAGCGGCCAGCTCCCTTGGGACCCTTCCCCAGCAGCGGTGTGTGACCTTTCACACGCTTTCCTCCACTTTCCCAGAGCTAAGCCGACAACTGGGGCAGGCCTCCTAGGCCCCTCTTATTACAGGGAGCTGCAGGGAGTGGGGCAGGCGGCCAGCAGGGGGCACCTTCCTCTCACTCCAATGCCCCAGAGCAGCACTAGGGGGCCTGTGCTGCAGGGAGGGGAGAGGAGCGACTAGTAGAGGATGGTCTCCCTTCACAGTCAGAGCTCCAAGCCGATTGCCCCCTTTATGCTTTCCTCTCTCTGGGGGGCGGGGGTTGCCCTGTCCCCTGCCCACCTGAGTGCTGGTGTCCATGCTGCCCCCAGGATCTCTCTGCTGAGAGGGGGAGGCAGTCAGGCCTAGGGTCCCTATTGGGTCAGACTCCCTCCTCCCTCAGCTGCCATGTGGGGGGAGCCCCCTCAGACCCAAAGCACCAGCTCCGCCAGAGAAGGAAGTGGAGCCGGCTGCAGAGATTCCGGGCAGTCAGAAGGGGAAGCAGTCAGAAAGTTGGGCCAGCGCCATGGGACTCAGGACAGTCACAGAGTGGGGAGGTGCCTTGAGGTCCCGGCTCCCAGTCCCCCT